AACCAAAAGGACGAGCGACCAATCTTCTTCGCTTTACTCTTCCCTTCAGCACTCCTTTTCCCTGTGAAAAACGAAGAAAGGGAGCAAAAAAGAAGCGCACGCTGGAAAGCAGCACTGAAAACTAGTTGAGTATGAGGGACATGCACATTGGAACTAAAGCATCTTGGGCCGCTAATCTAGCCACAGTTGCCTATTGAAACATGGATTTGTGGAATAGTTACCTGCAGTTCTGGTCACATTCCGCTCAACTTCCAAGGAAAGGAGAAAGTCCGAGGAACTGCAGATGAACGAGTTCGCAAACCATTTGAATGGTGAGAAAAACGGTATCCCGCTGTTGCGATCGACAGCATTTGTCACTTTCTCTCGCTCCAACAAGTCAAGCCTCAACGCTGAAAAAGGGGGATATCTGGGCCCGGTTTAGGGCCTTTGAAGGCGTATCCGGTGGCGATATACAGAAGAGAGCGAGAAGGAGAAAACTACCTATCACCTGCACCTTCGGCAAGTACTGCTGAGAGCTCTGCTGTTAGAATTTCTGTAGTCACAACGAAGGCTTGTCTCTTAGCATTGGTCTGTCCCGCTGACGACTTGATCAGCAGGCCTTCAACAGCTTCGGAACTCCTCTGCGACGCGATGTTGGCATTACTTTGCCCTTCCATACTCAGCCAAGCCCTCTATCTCCCGAACATTTCATATTCGTTCGCTGGTGGTAGTGCATCATTGATAGTATTTTGGTGTCGGACCCATCCCGCTTTTCCTTCATGAGCTTAGCCTTCTCCTTCGAAAGGTACGCTGCTCCAAAATTATCTACGGACATCATTCGAATGGCGGATGGAATGGACGAGCTAACAACCCCGGGCTGGAACATTCTATTAGCCAACCGCTCCTCCTCTCAACAAGTCTCACGAATTGCCAATGGACGAGCGTTTTCGAGTGGAAGGGCGCATCATCAGTGCTGCACTTGTGTTATCATCGCTTGAAAACGTGAGCAAATATAAACGATCGAGGTTTGAGCGGACGTCTTTGCGCCGTAGATTGCCTTTGCGCTTCTATGTTTTCTTTTCGTTATGAGACGCTCCATCAATGACTTCTGCGAGTTTTTCTTCCCTTCAATTGATTTTTTCAACCCGATCCTTTCCCTCATTTACGAAAATACATTAGACTGAAACTTCGGTGAATGTGGTATCTCACCATTGAGAACCCTTTGTTTACTGGCCCAGGGAGAGTTGGTTTCGAGGTGTGCAGTTGAAAATGAATGCTGGTGGTTAAGAAGAGATCGCATTCTCTGTCTTCGGCGATGACCTTTCCCGGATTGGCTGGGGAAAGCGGGGAAAAGGACGGCGCCTTATAAGGTTTGTGTATAGACAGCTCATGATTGCTAGGCAAAGTAGCATTTATTTATCCATTTATTTATTTATTTATTCATTCATTTATCTCTCCCGTAAGACAACAGGGTATGGATTTTTGATGACTTCAGGGGAGAGGTAATGGGATTAGCGCTTCACCAGACAGCTAGTCTTCACTTTCGTGCTTGGCCCTGTTCATAGATGTGGCTATTCAAAATGGAATTCCGGGAACGTTTAGCTCACCCATGGCAGTCGACATTTAGGATTTTTTTCGGCAAAGGCGGGACCTTTTTTATCTTTGTGGGCAAATAGAAATGGAGTGTAAACATTATTTGATAGGATGTTCCTTTCATTCATAAGAAAATGCTGGAAAAGATATTGGCAAACCGTATCCTAGTCCTGGCACAACTCATCTGTGCTTTTCAATCCTTTTCAATTGTTATTCCAACATTGTGCTTCTCCCACCCGTTAAGCTCACTCCAATAGCTTTTTAAAAGCTCCTTTTACCTTTTTTTTTCTGCGGGAGCGTACTATCGATGATGACGAGGTTGCTCATATATGTAAAGAGGCACCGGTCGTCTAAAAGAGCAAAGTGTAAGACGAATTGTTCCATTGGCTTCATCACAGTTTCACGCTCATACCAGGACCCATACCTTACGAACACTTGTGCTTTACCCATTGTTTTTTCAGTGCCGCCAAGTGGATTTAAGGTCGCTCCTCCCTCTCATACGGAAAGATTAGATGTGTAAGTATGGTTGATGGGTGGAGGTTGTGTACGTAAATGGCGCATGCATAGCCCAAGTTCGTATTCCGGATAATCGCCCAGGCCCACTAAGCGTCCCATGGTGGAAATCCTCCCAGAGTTCCCGCGGCGGATACTGTATCTCTGTGGAGGTGATTCCAAAGTGTCATAACTTTCCCATTTTTCTGAATTTGCCACTAGAACGAACATGATGTTCCCCACTTGCTCCGCAGTTCCTGTGAAGTCGAAATGTCAACGTAAAGATCAATAATCAGGAAAAAAAATCACGAGCATGGTGGGAGCACGAAGCCGCGATACTCTATGGCCTAGTTTACTTTGTGGGAATATAAAACCACTTGCAGTTACAAACCCCAGAATCGATGTAAAATGACAGTAAGGGGGCGTTTGCCCATGAAAGATATCCAAAGGCACTGGACCACTGGCACAGGATCCTCTTTATCTTTGAAGGATGATAAAGACGAGGATCGTATGTGAGTTTGAGCTGGAATGAGTCTGTGATCTCTAGCGATAGCACAAGAGCCACTGTTGAGTCATAAAACTGTTCACAGGTTATATCACTGTATGCCACACCCAGACTTGGCCGTGTTTCAAAGACCACGTAGAGGATACGCTATTCACAATGGAGCAGCCTTGCTAAAATTCAAATAAGTGGTCAGAGAGCACAACAAGATGTAACACAACAAAAGATAACAACAAGAAAAACAGAGTATCACAAAGTGGCAGCAGCAACAGAGAATAACAAAATTAATTCCTAAAATATTGAATGCATGGAGTTCCGACTCATCTCGACAGTAGGAAGCAATCTTTGGCACTTTTGCGCAGTGTATGTAGCTAAATCATCTTGCAACTGTACACATTTGACACCACTTCTAAATACTTCCCATGCCACTTTCCCCCTTCAATCTCGTATCCCCTTATTTCTGGTACTGCTTACTTTTTTA